AGGAGACCCTAGTTCAATTCCTGGGTCAGGAAGATCCCCTAGAGAAGGGATAGGCTCAGTTCAGTTCAGTTCAGTCGCTCAGTTGTGTCTGACTCTTTCGACCCCATGAATCGCAGCATGCCAGGCCTCCCTGTCCATCACCAACTCCCAGAGTTTACTCAAACTCATGCCCATTGAGTCAGTGATGCCATCCAGCCATCTCATCCTCTGTCGTCCCCTTCTCCTCCTGCCCCCAATCCCTCCCAGCATCAGGGTCTTTTCCAATGAATCAACTGTTTGCATGAGGTGGCCAAAGTATTGGTGCTTCAGCACCAGTCCTTCCAATGAACACCCAGGACTGATCTCCTTTAAGATGGACTGGTTGGATCTCAAGAGTCTTCTCCAACACCATAGTTCAAAAGCATGAGTTTTTCGGCGCTCAGCTTTCCTCACAGTCCAACCCACTCCAATATTCTTGGGCTTCCCTGGTGGCTCAGCTGGTAAAAATCTGCCTGCAATGTGAGAGACCTGGGTTCAATCCCTGGGTTGGGAAGATCCCCTGGATAAGGGAATGGCTACCCACTCCAGTATTCTGGCCTGGAGAATCCCATGGACTGTATAGTCCATGGGGTCCCAAAGATTTGGGCACAACTGAGCAAATTTCACTTTCACTTCAAAGTAGACTTCAGACCAAAGAGCCCACAGAAACCACTCAAATCATTTGCCTTGTTTTTGGACCAACTGTTGATGTTGCTCCCAATATCTTAGCACCTTGAACAACTGTTCTTGACAAAAGGCTGATTTATTCTATTTGCATACATTTTTCATCGACTGCCACAAGCAAACACAGTTTAATTAACTCTCCATTGGTAAATGGCTTTCCTAGCTTGACTAACAAATGAGCCACTCAGAAAACGCTGCAGCCTCATTTTCACATTTTATTTTTGTGAAGAAATTTCGCTGTGATGAAATGTCATTTAAAAATTTCCTGTGTTTTCAAACTTAGCTTTCCTGTGAGCTGGAAATAGTGTGAGGACTGCTTAATATGGAAATGTGACATATTGTGTTCTTCTAGAATTATTACACTGTCATTACATAATAAGCATGAAGCTTTGACATCTAATTTGACACAAAATAATTCACACTCCACTGTGCCTTAAAGGCTCCAATATCACGGGATGAGGACTCATTGGGGTTTCTCTAACTATCAAGTTTGTAGATCCTGATTATATGTTAGAGAAAGGGGAAATGACCACAAGGTGGGTCTGCCAAGCAGCAGACCCACAGTAATGGACTTGGACCAGGGCTGAACTTATTACTTGGCTCCCAGACTCCACAAAGCTGTACCAAAAGGGCAACGGCACATCCTGGGTCTCTGTATCAATGTCAACTAGGACTTTGGGTCTCCCAGTCGTCAGAAAAGTCAAGTATTCCTCAGTTTACTGTCGTCTGAATAAATGGCTGTAGGTCCTTTTGGGCAAGGGCTGTGGAAATCACAAAATGTATGTTTTTTACAGTTCTATGGTTTTGACAAATGAATACAGTCATTAGTTCAGTCGCTCAGTTGTGTCTGACTCCCTGTGACCCCATGGACTGCAGCATGCCAGGTCTCCCTGTCCATCGTCAACTCTCAGAGTTTATGCAAACTCATGTCCATTGAGTCGGTGATGCCATCCAATCATCTCATCCTCTGTAATCCCCTTCTCCTCCCACCTTCAATCTTTCCCAGCATCAGGGTCTTTTCAAATGAGTCAGATTTTTGCATCAGGTGGCCAAAGTATTGGAGTTTCAGCTTCAGCATCAGTCCTTCCAAAGAATATAATATATGTGTTATATATTGATTTGTTAATATATATATGATTTTTTTTGGTATAAAAAAGCTATTTTTAAAAAAGAATACAGGGGACTTCCCTGCTGTTGTCAGTGGTTATGATTCTGTTTCCAGTGCAGGGGGTGTAAGTTCAATCCCTGGTTGGGGAACTAAGATTCTACATGCTGCAAGGTGCAGCCAAAATAATAATAAAATAAAAAATAGAAATAAAAAAGAATCCCAGTTTTAAGTTCATGCTCACCTGCTACGGTTGCAACCACTATTTGGAAACTGGCATGAGACCTGGGCATCTGTCCCGTGTGTCAGTGGAACTAAAAAAGATAATTACCAGAACATTGGTGACAAACAGAACTAAAGCTTATGATGGGGGAGGTCGGCACAGGTTGCAGACTAATATTCAAAAATCAAATTGATAAATGGCCTTGGACCTCTCAGTAGCACCTTTGGACGCTTTAAAACAGTGTTGCAAAGCCTTAAGAATTCTGAGGAAAAACTGTTTCCAACTAGAAACTGTCATCCAAACATGTAGTAGAACAAATGTCTTTTCAGACATGTATTTAATTTCATAATATTAGCCCCTGAATTTTGTGCTTTACTATCTGTTCTTGTCTTTCCCCATTTTTCTATTAGGTTATTATGTGCATGCGTGCTGTTGTGTGCATGCGTGCTGTCTCTTAGTCGTGTCTGACTCTTTGCAACCGTATGGGCTGTATAGCCCATCAGGCTCCTCTATCTATGGGATTCTCCAGGTAAGAATACTGGAGTGAGGTGTCATTCCCTTCTTCAGGGGATCTTCCTGACCCAGGGATCAAACCCACTTCTTCTGAGGCTCCTGCACAGCAAGCAGATTCTATACCACTGAACTGCCAGGGTACTGTTGTTGTTTCTCCTTGGTTATTATCAGGGAAATTCACCCTTTGTGAAATGTATTATAATTGTTTCTTTCCAATTTGTCTTTTGACTAAGGCTATTTTTCTTTCATAAAATTTATTTTTTTTAAAATTTATTTTAAATAGTCAAAATTATCAATCATAATTGGAAAGGCCTTTCCTAGTGTGAGTTTTTAAAAACATCTCAGCTGATTACTTCTAAAGTTTTTTTATTTCTTTTTTTTACATTTCAAATTTTGATTCACTATGTATTTATCCTTTTGTAAGGTGTGAAATAAAATTTTATTCTTGTCTCAGATTTGTCTCTTGCCTCTTTCCCCATCTTGCTCCCTGTGCTCCAGCCACTCTGACCTTTTGTCCAACTCACCAAGCTCACTCCCTACACAGACCTTTTGCACTTTCTTTCTCAGTGATACTCTGCCTTTGGATCTTCCCAAGACATTCTAGTCTTAAACCTTTCATCCTCAGAGAGGATTAACATAAAAAAGACTAAGGTGACACTGAACTGTCTTTAAATCTACCTATTCGTGTTAATTCCGTTTGTCTCTGCTATTACCAATTAAGTTTTTCCTATTTAACTCTACAAAGCAGCTGTTTTAAGCTTATTGCTAAATTCACTCTGGGGAAGACAGGGATTTGGGGACAATCCTGCTGCTCTGCCTCTAGGACAGAACATTAAGGGAAAGGCATTAAATTAAGGATCAGATTGACTTGCCCTTTCTCTATAAGTACAAGTGTAAGATTACCACACCCTGGACAGAACATTGATCCTCAACCTGAGATTTGAGAGTCTGTAAAGTTATCAAAATTGCTGTGAAGATGTTTTAGATAGTAATTATCCATTAAAAAGGTACGAGTAGCTTGATCTCACAGCATATTTTATAGATAACAAAGATAGGATGCCTGCACTCACAGCCGCTATGTGGGCTTCATTTGTGGCTCAGCTGGTAAAGAATCAACCTGCAATGCGGGAGAGCTGGGTTCAATCCCTGGGTTGGGAAGATCCCCTGGAGAAGGGACCGGCTACCCAATCTAGAATTCTGGCCTGGAGAATTCCATGGACTGTGACTCAGACGGTAAAGTGTCTGCCCACAATGTGGGAGACCTGGGTTCGATCCCTGGGTCGGTAAGATCTCCTGGAGAAGGAAATGGCAACCCACTCCAGTACTCTTGTCTGGAAAATTCCATGGGCGGAGGAGCCTGGTAGGCTACAGTCGGTGGAGTTGCAGAGTCGGACACGACTGAGCGACTTCAATGTCAAATGTCATGTCATGGTCCATGGGGTCACAAAGTGTTGGACACGACTGAGGGACTTTCACTTCACAGCGTTACAGTTAGATAACATGAGTATCTGACACATTTTTAGGTAATCTAGTATTTTAGACAAAGATATTTTGACTTTGAATGAGAATTGACTTTGACATCTTCCCAGCTTCTTCAAATGACCCCAAAACTAGGATTCTCATATTAGCAGTTGAGAGCTGGGAGGGAACATCAGAACGATCGATTCCAACACTGTCTTTATACAATATAAAAGTATTAATAATATGAAGGCAAAAAACCCAGAACCTACTCATAACTCGTCTACGACATCACACTGACTCAAAGTCATCCATAGGTGTTAACACTGTTAACCTGGTTAATGGAATTAACAGAAGGCGTGGAGGGCAAGCTCTCAGATTTGTTTTCCATTAAATGGATTATTAATCAAATGGACGTAACCTTCATTCTTTTAAAGGTGAATTTCAATTAGTTTATGACGGGTGTGCCTGTGAGTCGTTTCCAACTAAGGCTCCTTTCCTACCAGAAATGGGTCATCTAGCATTTCACTTTCAAGAGAGTCTCATAAAATACCAACACACTCTATTGAGAAGATTTTTTTTGGTAAATTAAACAGCTTAGACTTTATGAATGAGCCCAGAAACGTTCATTGGCTTGTTCAACTTCCCAACTGCAAAACGTTACTGGGCATTTTATGACCCTGTGACACAATCCCCGGCGCAGTCCGACCCCCCTCCGCGCCCCCCTTCCCCCCAAAAAAGAGGAGTCGGTTTAGGAACGGCAGGCCTGTGGGAGTCAACGTCGCGCTTTGCGCAAGGAAGCCGCAGGGTGAATCAGGTTGGAGTTAGCCATTTCCTTTTTCCCCTGACATTTCGGGCTGCCGGGGGGCTGGGCGGGCAGACACCGAGGCTGGTGTTTGCGGCCTTCTACTCTTGCCCCGCATCGGCCTTGACTAACCAACCAGCTGACAGCCCCAACTCTCTAGAAGCGACAGAGAGAGAGACGACCCGGCGCCATAGCTAGGTCGGTCCCAGGCACATCTCCACGATAGCCACAGTGCGCCCCTCTGGTTTCCAGGTGCAAACAGGAAGCTTCTCGCGAACCCCCAGATCCCTCCCCTTTAGGAAGAGCGCAGACAGCGTCTCTGTTTCCATAGAAACCGGCCCTGCCATGATGTCACTTCCGCTGACCTGTCTGGACTCCAGACTCTTGGGAGGAAAAGAGGAAAACTGAGCCACAGCCACGACGGTGGATGCGAGCGTCTCCTGTCTGCGCATGCGCCCGCTCAGCGGCCTGCTTCTATTTATGTGGGGGATCCAACATGGCGGCTGCGGCGACCCTGGCGATGGCGGTGGTGCCCGTCAGAACATAGTGGCGGGGAAGGGGGCACAGTCCGCACTCACGGTGGCGTCGGCGGAGACGGCTGAGGGTGGTGGAGGGAAGAAAAGCGACGGAAAGCAAAAGGAAGGGCAGGCGGGCAAACAACTCGGCGTAGAACCGAGCGCCGGCTCGAGCGAAGGCAGAGGGCCAGAAGAGTGGGGATGGCGGAGCCACGCAGAGTAGCGTTTATTAGCCTGTCACCGGTGAGGCGGCGCGAGGCCGAGTTCCCGGGGGCCGAACGCGAACCCGAGTATCCTCGCGAGCCTCCCCGGCTGGAACCGCAGCCGTACCGCGAGCCGGCCCGGACGGAGCCGCCGGCCCCGCGGGAGGTTACCCCCAGGTCGGACGCACAGCCCCCGCCGCGGGAGAAGCCGCTCCCCCAGCGCGAGGTCAGCCGCGCCGAGCCGCCCATGTCGCTGCAGCGAGAGCCCCCGAGGCCCGAGCCGCCGCCGCCGCCGCTGCACTTGCAGCCGCCCCCGCCGCGGGAGTCGGCTTCCCGGGCCGAGCCGCAGCCGAGGCCGCCGAGGGAGACGGTGCGCCTGGAGCTGGTGCTCAAAGATCCCACCGACGAGAGCTGCGTGGAGTTCAGTTACCCGGAGCTGTTGCTGTGTGGAGAACAACGGGTACAGAAGATCCCTCCCTCATCCCCCAGACCCCGGGAGCCTCGAGACCCGTCCGCCTCCCCCCAGTGGTTTGCACCTTCCGACGCCCACCTTGCGCGTCTCGGGTCTCCGCAGAGGGTGGCTGGAAGGGGCAGAGGCCGAGCGGGTGTGCTTTCCTCTGCTCCCCTGGGTTGGTCGAGGCTCCTACCCGCTCCACCGACCATCCTCCCCTACCCCCCGCATCCTACTCTCGCTCCCGCTCCAAACGCTGTTCCCCTGCACCTTTCGAAACCTCAGGTTTCCTCTCTGCCTTCTACAGAAAAAACCTGGGGCCCCTGCAAGTTGCGTTGTTAGGTTTTGCTTGCGGACCTCTAGCAGTCGTTTCGGTAGAAAGGAAGAGAAAACCTGGGGGACACGCCCCCCAGTGTGAAGCAGAGACATTGTGTAACCCCTCCAGGATCATCCTCACCTTCGTCGCTGTTTGTTGTTGTGGGCGCTGAGATGTGCTTCTGAGCGTGGGGTATTTTTCTTAATTGAAGGGGATTTAAAAGTAATCTAAACATTTTCAGACTAAGGATTCCACTTTAGGAATGAAGGATACCTGGGCTGGTTATTTGGTTCCTTGTTTTTCTCTTTCGTGTTGATACTGGTAAACCTTTTAAGCTTTGTTTTCTCTAGTGTTCATGCAGCAGTTGAATGGGAGGGTGTCTCTCGTTTTATTTGGTGCTTACCACCATATTCTTATTTGAGTGTACATATCGTTAGTTTATTGGTCCTAGTTGAAGGATATTGCACTTGGCCATTGTGATTTGATTTTTGGAGAGTGATGAAAATAATGTTAGCTTTGAATTTCTAAAAACTTTATTAAAAATATCTAGGTATGCTTTTGGTGGAACTGGTGAACAATGGAGACAGGAGAGGGGCCTGTTGGTAGCTGTAATTTTTATTGTTGGTTGGTGATCTTCAGAAGTAAGCTAGAAAGGGGAATGACAGAGTAAGAGTAATAAGAACAATTTCTTCTGTTGTTTAGAGACTATGCTGTTTATTAGGTTTTGCTTTAGCACCCGTCTAATGGACCCCAGAAGTCACTTGTTTAGTTTCATCCTCGATTATCTTTATAGTTGAAATGAATAACTTAGTTTAAAAATACCATATTAAACAATGCCACTAGATTTTGTTTGTTGTAAAGCTAGCTAATCTTTTGATCATTATTTACAAATACTATTGTGAAATCGAATCATTACTAAATGTTTGCAACCAAAATGAATTGTTAAGGATAGAGACCATTTTGGTCATTTCCACATAACATTTTGCCCTTTAGACTCACTTTAGTGCCCCTGTTATTCATAAAGTGATGGCATATTTTTCCTCCAAAGAATCTTGAGAATATTGGACTGGAGCATTTTTCCAAAAAATTGTGCTATATTTGATCTTCTAAAGAAGGCTTGCAGTTTTACTCCTTAATCTGCTTCATAAATTATAGGTGATTATATTGGGGAAGAATACATAATAAGGACTAACATTTACTGATTTCTCACTGAGTGCCAAACACAGTTCTAATTGTGGCTTGTGGGGTTTAGTCCAGCAGAACTGCACGAGAAGAAACCTTCATCCCCATTTTACAAAGAGGCGGCTGGTTCTCAAAGTGCTCATATGTCATCTCATTAGTACTTTTTTCCATATGCTAGTACCAGTTCTTAATAAAAACAATTCTTAATTAACGCATATAGTATAAATTTAGAAAGTCCTGCCCAATTGAACTGAAATAAGAGTTATAGTAGAAATACAAAGACCTCTGTTTTAATCTTTATGCTATAATATTCCTGGGATGATAAACTAATAATAGATATGTATCTTTTGATTATGAAGTTGATTTTGACACACTATTAATTTGATAATATCAGAACTAATAATTTCATGTACTAGGAGAAAGGTGAATAATTCATTTAATTTTTCTTTTACACTATCAATTTGTGGTGTATTACTCTAGTTATTGTGTACATTCAGCTATATATCATTTGACATATTCCACTGAACCAAAATATCCATTAGTTATACATACAGTGTGTGTTTGCAACATATTGCCAGATTTTCCTATGATTATTCCCAGTGAACATATTTATTACATAAGGAAGTATAGAAAACACCTTTCTAAATGAAGTTGTCACATTTCCATGAAAGGAAATCCTGGAAAGAGAAACCAGGAAAAGGCAAAATGGAAGCAATAGAATTAATCTGCAAAGTGGCGATTCCCAGCTTTGGTTTTTCTTCCCCTCAGGAGGAGTCAAGTTTATTTTCATGATGATGGAATATTTTCAAAATAGTTTTTAAATTTTGTGATGATTTAGTGGCTAAGTCATGTCTGACTATTTCCACCCCGTGGACTGAAGCCTGCCAGGCTCCTCTGTCCATGGGATTCTTCAGGCAAGAATACTGGAGTGGGTTGCCATTTCCTTCTCCAGGGGTTCTTCCTGATCCAGGAATAGAACCCAGGTCTCCTGCATTGCAGGTAGATTCTTTATCTACTGAGCTATGAGGGAAACACTTATTTTACCTTATTGTAATTGAACAACATACTATGTAGCAGGTTAAGAGTAGTAAGGGAAGGAAAAGAGATCTTGTAAAATTAAAAGAAGAAAACTTTCTGCAACATTGAGGTAGCTGTCTACCACCCAGTAAGACTTTACTTGATAGATGTTTAAGTATAAAAAATCTGTTACATGTGAGTACAATCTGTACTGGGGTGAATTTAAATCATCTTTCATAAATACACAATGAACAGTAAAACTCCAATTAACTGAATGCAGTCAGGAATTTTTCTAAACTTACTTTTTTTTTATAAGAGAAAACATAATCAAATGAGCAGGTCTTGGCAAAATACGGAAAACAAAACCCGCTCTAGTTGTCAGAACACAGATTAGCTAAACCCTTAACCTTGTCTGCAGAGTATTGATCCTGGTTGAGGTGGAGGCATTGTAATCATATCTATCCTGAAAGAGTAATTTGTTCACCTTTTCTGGCTCAGGGGAATTGATACACAAGAAATTCTTTTTTAACTCTTAGTAAACCAGAAAATCACTTAACCAGAAAACATCTTCCATAAACATGATTAATTGAGCATTTTGTATAAAAATATATGATTACAGTGGTAATGTGATTATACTGTTACCAGAGCATTCTGTGGTATTCCATTGTTTGTCATACTGCATATTTTGGATAACGTATATGAAAGCTCTCCTGAAAATGATGTTAATTAGTTAACATCTAAGGAAATAATTGTTGCATCAATTTTGCCTGTGGGTTGATCGATTATTTTGGTATTTACTAATTATTAGGTCTTTTCACCTGAAAAATGTAAAGCTTAGAGCCTTAATTTTGAAAGTGAGTCAGTTTCCTTAAATTTACTTTTATAGATTATCAAGAGTAAATAAGTGATTTAATTTTGCTGCCTATGTAAAAAATCCACATATAAAATATTTGATAATGGTATATAACATGATTCTTATTTAAAATATCTATTCATGTGTTTATATTTGCTCATACAGAAATGGGTCAGGTCAGTCATGAGATGTAGTATTTGGACTCCATAGTGATATGAGGGAACAGTTTATAATGGCAAGGCATAGTGGTTGTTTACTGTCCTTAACCCTGATCTCATGTTAAGGCTGAACCCTGAACATGCCTAATGCTTCTTGTTTTACTACCTTTCTGCTTGCTTGCTTTCTTTTTTTGTTCTTTCATTTATGTTTTATTTCTTTTCTTTCTTGTTTCATCACCTTTCTGCTGGTTTGTTTCCTTTAGGTCATATTTATATTTTCCTTTGATAACTCCTGTTGGGATAAAGGACTCTATAAACATGTTTATTATAATAGATAATTTTCAAAATTGATTTAAAAATTCCTTTAAGCTTTAAAATGTATCCTTTCATTCTAATGCCTCCTAAGTATGATGAATTGTTTTGTATTCATTCTGTCCATATTTTTTGATTAATCATGTCTCAGCCTTTATAGCCAGGATGAAATATCTTGGTTTCAAAGTTTGCAAAACATCATCCCTTCTACATTTTTTCTTGACCTTCAGGGCAAATCTGTGTCTAATGTTTCAGCTGTAATGTACTTTCATTTTAATTACTGCTTGAAGATGGTAGTCAGTTAAAGCATCTAGCCTTTTTTTCCATGAACTTTCTAGTCAGTTGTTCATAGTTAGATAAAAATAGCATTTTTATCCATATGTAGCTACTTGTGTTGTTTTTTTTTTTTTTGTAAATTGAAATATATCTATATATATATGAAGTGTGTCTGTGAAATAGTAAGCTTGAGTAGAAGATGTGATGTGTCTTTTTGTTTATTTTGATCAGTGGGTGGTAAATGCGGGATCCTAGCTGTATGTTTTAAACTGTGCTTTATAGTAGATTTTAACTCTTCCTGCTAAAAGAAAGCCTTGACAATGTAATCTGTAGCTATTGAACTTTTCTGCCTTGTTTAGAAGTCGTATGAATCCCTTGAATGGATATTCATTGACAGGATGTAGGTGATACAGAGCTTGTCTGTGCTTGGCCTCAGCAAAAAGCTGTAGCAGCTACAGATACTCCAGTGCTAACTCAGGGCAGATGATTAAATGATGATTGTAATAAACTTTTAGAAGCAAGAGGTTTTCTGACCAAATTGGTTAATCTTTGTTGGGAAGTTATCAAAGTACAGTTATAGGTGGTTTGTTTTATTTTTTACCTAATTTTCTTGGGTTTCTTTGGCCTTTTTATTTTGGATGGGGTAACCATAGATTTTTTTGTGACTGAAGACAATTTGAATTGTTGAGTTTTTAACTGTTGAAAAACTTTAAAATGTGTAAGAGTCCATTAATTTTTGAATTTTTTAAACTTAAAATGGATTTTTTCAAATGAAGTGTAGTTGATTTACAGTGTTAGTTTCTTTTTTAGTTACTTTTAATGCTTCTAATTTATTTGTTAATATTTGGAAAAATTGACTCATTTACTAAGTTTAAAGATATATTCGACTCTAATTGAAGTAATACTAATACTTCTATTTCTTTTACTATTCACTTTGAATCAGAAAAAGCCCGTTTACACAGAAGACCCGTTCAATGATGATCATCAAGAGAGGCAAGAAGTGGAAATGTTGGCTAAGAAGTTTGAAATGAAATATGTGAGTATAATAAACTTCACTCATGTAATTTTATCCTGTTGGCCTATTTTTTTTTCCTGTGACTGGTTGGAAGGGCTTATGACATCCATTGCTCACATTATCTTGTTCTAATAAATTGAACCCAAATAAATGGTTAGATGATCAAATGAAGATTCTGATAGGTTTGTGGTGGCTATAGTGGTAACTGTCATTTCTTGTACTCCTTCTGGTAGGCAGTTTGCTTATCATTATCTACAGTCCTTGTAACAGCACTGCCAGGTAAATGACATTGACCACATTTACAGACGAGGAAACAGGTCTGAGCTTAAGGTTAAATAACTGATCTAAGGTCACATGTACTGATGTCAGAAATGAGACTGCATTTCCAGGTCTATTTAGCTTAATCCTTTGCTCTTTCCACTGCCATTGAGAACACTGCTTTAATTCCTTTGGTGTAGTGGTTCTTCAGCTTTCCTGCCTCTTAAGTGTTTAAGAGATTTTGAATGTGTGTCCTTCTAGGCCACTGAGATCAGGGTCAGTTAGAAGCAGCATGAAGTTTCTTTATAAGTGCCTTGTCTACCTTAAAAATCCTTGTGCATTTTATAAACTGTGCCACAATAGATTAGTGTTTGTTTTAATATAAAAATAAATTTGAATTACGTGATTGTGAAGTTGCTTACTATTATTCTCAATTTTTTGGTGTAAATGACTTTGCTGGAAAATCCCTCCCATGCCCTCCCCATGTTTATTCTATGGCTTTAACTACCCCTGTCTCTTTGCTCAGACATGACCCAAGAGAAGCAAGACCTTACCTCTGTGGGTCCCCTGAGAGCACTGAAAAGTATCTCACAGAGATAGGATATCAGCTCACACTAGCCCTGTCATTCATGTTATCTTCAGAATGCAGTTAGGGTGCCTGTAGTAGTAACTGTCATTTCTTGGTGATCTTGGTGAGCACTTGTTGGCTCTTTGTGGTAATGAGGAAACAGTTTGAGGGGAGGAAGATACACGAGAAAGTTTTGAAATGTGGGTCAGGTTCTAGGTCATACTTTGCCAGCTGCTAATTGTATCCATTGGTGAGGTTATTTAACCTCTTTGCACCAAAGTTTTCTTCCCTGTAAATTTGAGAAGTTCAGATTTTTCATACCCTTCTCTGGCTCTGTATTCTGTGGCTGTATAATATCTTGAGGGGTGAACTGATGGAAAGAATAGCCAAAGTTGTTACAGTGATTTGTAGTGTTAGTTATAATGCAGGGTTCTGAGATTATAAATCCTGAAATAGCTGTCTATAATTATTATACAAATTAATACATTGGTTAAATTTAGTGTTTTAACCAGCTAGTACATTTTACATGGTTCAAATTCAAAAGTATGGAATGAAAAATCTTCCTTTTATTCTCTTGTCTACCCACCTAATCTCATTTCTGAGAGGCAAATAGTGTTCTTGAGTGTCCTTCCCAAAGATATTTTATGTATATCTTCCTGTATACATTATTCCTCCCCTACCACCACCCTTTTACACATATTGCAGAATACATGATTCTGCTCTTTGCTTTTTTCATTCCCTATATCTTGGAGATTTTTTCATATCCAGGCAAAGAGAGCTTTCTCTCTTTTTCAAAGCTACATGGTCTTCCGTTGTATGGAAATAACACAGCTTATTTAACTGGTCCCCACATAATTGCAAAATTGTTTCAAAAAATTTGCTCTTCTAATAGTGCTACAGTAAATTATTTAGTAGCATGGCATTTCACACTTCTTCAAGTTTATCTGTAGAACAAATTCCTAGAAGGGAATTTTTTAGGTCAAAAGATTTATGCATGTATATTTTGGGTATATACAGTATTATCAAATTAGGAGTTTCAATTATTAGTTTCTACTCCCTCCAAGACTCTTACTATAATGTTTTGTTTCCCCATGGGTTATAAAACCAAGGGTTACAGTTGCCCTTTGGAAATGGAAGATTTCCAGCATATCCTATATGGAAGGAACCTCACAGTTTGCATTAAATCTTATTGGGGATCTTTTAGATAGTTCTTGGCATAGAAAAACCAGTGTCCAAAAGAAGTTGGTTGATAGGTAAAATTGTTTTATGTGATTAGGATATACTCAGGCACTGTCATTTTGCAGGGATAAAATGTTACTCTTTTTATCATTGAAATTAATGGACTATATTTCTTCTCTAGTTTTTTATTTTGACTGCGGACTCTTTTATTTCATTCTAAGTAGAGCTTTAAAATATTCTGCCTCATCAAGGTTTTATGTAAATGTAAAAGCATGCCATGAATATCATAACAGTGAATGTTAAGTATGGATATTATAACAAGTTATTTGGAACCTTTTAAGAAAATCATCAGACTCTTTTAAGTGACCTGTGAGAAGATATCTTGTCCAGCTGTAGGCTCCAGGCTTCACAGAAGATCACTCTTAAACAGCAGAGATTTTTTATTGGTGTTTAAGGAGAGCATATGCAGATGTCTATATGTATATTTATACATAAATGACAATTATTTATATAAGCACCATATGTATATTTTAACTGAAAGAAAGTCTTTTAGATATTTGCAAAATGTTAACCCACCAAAGTTTGATTACTTTTTGTGCACATGACAAAAAGATGAGTTTTTTTTGAGGTTTATAAAACACAAATAAAACTTGTATCCCTAGCTACCTTTTCTTCTTAACTGTTCCCCCATTTGTCATATAATTTAGATGTCCTTGTCATTTTTTCTGAAAATCAGTTAAGGTTATTTCTGACCTTTTGTTTCTTGGAACAAGAGATGAAGATAATTTGTTAAATTCTGTATATAAATAATAAAATATATGAGTATTTATGTTGGACATACAAAGAATCATGTTATTTGCCGCCTCCTGGAGAAACTTAAAAAATAATTGGGAAGACAAAACATATAGGACACACAAATGCAGTGTCTATGGAAATGAATGACTCTCCTTTGGGGACCTAAAATTGAGTAGAAGAGCCAGTCTCATTCTTGAAATTGGGAGGAATTTTGGAGACTTGAATGGATCCTTTGAACCTCCTTTCCACCCTTTGTGGGCTACACTGGATGAGAGGCGGCAGCAGCAGCGGGTTGTAGTGTAAAGAGCCCAGGATTATGATTTAATGAAGCTGCATTCTGATCTTCCCTTTGCCATAACTAGCTGGGTTACCTTAGTGAAACCTCTTGGCTTTTTTGTGCTTTAGTATGTGTGAGGGGAAAGTAAGGTCTGCTTAGTCAACTTTATAACACAAAGGTTTTGGCAACATAAGATGAAAAATAGATCATTAATGTTTAAAATGTTTAAAGTGCTATCTAAATGTGAAGTGCTTTTTAGTCACTTAAACATATTCTTTTTTCTGAAAAATAATTTATTTCAGGAAATAGCAAGTAACAGATTAATTTTGCAAAAAAATACATTAAAACACCAATATTTTTCTCTCCCTTTTAGGCAAATACATTAACCTGGCCTCCTGATTACCCAGAGGGCTAGACCTATGCAGTGAATTACTTCATTGGATAAAACAAATTAAAGCTTATCATTCTTGTAGAGAGTTGCTCTTATTCTGTACATGTCGTAAATTCTTTGTACGTAAACTTTTGTATGGTTTTAACCTCTTAATTGACAACCCCACTGATTTTGATCTTTTCCTTCAGGCATTCTGTTCCATGTAGCCTTTATCTTTGGTCCTCCAGTCACTTGTTACATGTTCTTCTTAACTGTTGTGTCTTTTTACAGACTACAGCAGATTATTTGGAGCCCTTTAAGAAAAATTATTGGCCAACAGTGACCTGGGAGAAGATATCTTCTCCAAGCCTAGGCTCTCACAAGAGTATGGTTAAACAACTGATGAAGATATGTATTGCCCTGTAGTTTACTGTCCTGTAGTTACTTTAGTGTTTGAAATTCAGGAGCAGCAAATTCAGATGTCCTCAGCTGTGCACTGATCAATCAGTGAAGCAAGTCTGATGGACAATGAAGGTGGGGGATTCTTCCAAACGGGGGACAGACAGCACATGCCCTATCTAAAGGGGACACTGCTGCTCAGTTCCAGCAGCCTTTGTTAACTTTGCAGGAATTTGGCCTTAGGGTTGCCAAATCTTTTCATTTCTCAAAAGAATGCTGAAATCTGGATTTTACTCTATTATTCTTACTTTTAAATTGGCTTCTGACTCAAACACCTCCTGAGCTAGCCAAAATATATCTGAGGGCCAGATTTGGCTCTCAAGCTTTTGTTTGAGATTTTTGTGTACTTGGCTCATTGTTTTTTTTCCCCTAATACATTTAACTCATCAGTTCATCTACTTTTTACATTCTGCCCTTTCTCTTCTGTGAGCAGGGTGGCTGGTGGTACACATGGGAGCCTGTATCATTTCTCCTGTGGTGGAGCATGTATTTATCGAAGATTCAGAGAACCGGGCAAGCTAAACTCACCTGGGGATTTCCAGATATGGAGAAAAATAGGATGCATTGAAATGTGGCTGGGTCCAAGAGAAATGTTAGTGATAAATTCTGTGATTTGTTGGAAAGCCTGTGAGGCTAGTTTGTGGGCTTTTTGTGGTCTTTAGTATGTCTAGCTGTTACTTGGGCTGGAGAGGAGTTATGTAAAGGGGGAGCAGGCGACCACCTAAGGGAGAAGGGAAGGCTGTCTGAGGAGTATAGGATGTGCTTTATCCTGCAGCCGTTGCTTGTGGATAGAAGGACTGAGACAGCTTTGGTAGTTGAAAAACAGCGATAACAGAAATTATGGGGAGTATAGAACCCTGTATTGAATGATTGGTTTGTGTTTTTCCCCCATTCTGTCCTATTTTTATTGTCTATCATAGTTCCTGTTATATTACTTGTCAGATAATGTGGCAGTGTGTCAGTTCAGTTCAGTTGTTCAGTCATGTCCTACTATTTGCAACCCCATGGGCTGCAGCATGCCAGTCTTCCCTGTCCATCACCAGCTCCCAGAGCTTGCCCAAACTCGTGTCCATCAAGTCGGTGATGCCATCCAACCATCTCATCCTCTGTCGTCC